GTTCTTAACCATTGTCATAGGGCAGTATGTGTACTAACTGTTAAATGAGAAACTATTTTGTTCTGTAAACCTTCATCTAAAGTGAGAATAGCAGCACAACTGGAAGAACGTAATCGGCGTAACTGAATTCTGCATGTAGAAATTTTTGAAATGGTGTATCTTTGGCTATGTATATTTTCACCAAAAGAAAAAAAAAGGGTCCCCAAGGCTGAGAAGGGAGCGTGTTGACACGTCATGGGGTTGTTAACCAATGTCATAAAACAATGTGTACTGACTTTAATGAGAAAATATTTGTTCTGTAAACTTTCACCTAAAGTACAATTAAAAAAAAATTAAAACTATAAGGTGTGAAAATGAATGTTCTAGAGCTACTTATGTCTCTATAGCTAAATCTCACTGCTGAACTGGATACTTTTGAGGAAAAAAAGTATGTTGCAAAAGGGTTTATATAGTAGAATACCATTTATATAAAGTTTTGTAATACACCAAAGTACTATACTTGTTTAAAAAAAACCAAAAACAAACCCATTGCCGTCGAGTCGATTCCAATATAGTGACCCTATAGGACAGAGTAGAACTGCCCAATAGGGTTTCCAAGGACTGCTGGTGATTTGAACTGTTGGCCTTTTGGTTAGCAGCTGAGCTCTTAACCACTGCTTAAGATTAAGTAAGTACCAAATGTAGTATACTGGTTATGTCTGAAGAGTATATTGGGTAGCTTTAAACAACAGAAATTTATTGTCTCACAGATCTGAACTAGAAGTCCAAAACCAAAGTGTCACCAGGGCCGTGCTCCCTTTGAAGGCTCTAGGGAAGAATCCTTCCTTGTCTCTTCCTAACTTCTGGGGGTTGCTGGCAGTCTTTGGCATTTCTTGCCTTGTAGCTGCATCGCTCCAGCCTCTGCCTCCTTAACATGGCCTTCTTTCCTCCATGTCCGTGTCACTGTGTGTCCTCTTCTTATGAGGACCCAGTCGTATTGAATTTAGGGTCCACCCTAATACACTATGACCTCCTCTTAACTAATTACATCTGCAAACACACTATTTCCAAATAAGGTTCACTTTCACAGGTACTGGGGGTTAGGGCTTCAACATAGCTTTTGGGGACACAATTCAGTCCACACAGAGGATACACAAAATTTCAGTTACATTTGTAATGTTTGTACTGCGTTGTTTCTTGTTGGGTGGTTACTGGTACTGGTTACCTTATTTTGGTTACCTTTTTATATGTCTGAAATGCTTTTTAAGTTTTTAAAGAGCTAATGGATAGCACACATGTTTACGCATACATGTGTCTGTGTGTTCTTCCTGTAGTCAGCTGAGCAAGTTGCAAGAAGTCTCTCTGAGGAACTGTGCAGTGAATGGTGCTGGTGGAAAAGGAGGAATTGCTGAAACGTGTCCTAGTATCCTTTTCACTGATAATTTGTTTCTGGAATCTGACTTTGGATTTGATACTCCTGCTACACTGCCTACCCAACATGCATCCTCCCTGGCTGTCTTCCTAACAGCAGCTCAGTTTTGCGTGGGCAGTCAGTGCCCAGATAAATTATTTACCTTCCCAGGCTCCCTTGCATCCAGGTGTGACATTGTGGTTCACTCTGACCAATGAGATGAAGAGTCGATGTTGCTAGATGGGGCTTTTTAAAGGGGTCACACTTGGTTGGCATCTACCTTTTGCCCATTGCCTTTACCCTCTTCACTGTCTTAAATGCAGACAGAATGCCCAGGGCTGTTGCAGCCATCTTGCAGGTGTGAGGAAAGCCACCCAGTACGGAGTGGGAGAGCAGAGAAGTAGAAGGAGCTTGTGAGGCTTGAAGATGTTCTGGGGCCATTGCACCAGCTCTGGACTGCCTTCTTGTGAGCCTTTGTTAGGGAGAAAAATAAACTCTTCTTTTATTAAGGTCCCTGTTGCATGTAGCTGAATGCAGTTTTGTTACAGTTCCTCAAAACAAGCTTTTCCAGAGTTTGTAATCTATTTTCTCTACTGTCGCTTATCACTGGGTTTTTTTTTGTTTGTTTGTTTCGGTGCCATATATTGCTCTTACGCTCACAACTAAAAATGTAGGAGATAAGTTAAGAAAAAATCCTCAGTGGCAAATCAGATAGGCATTCTGTAACTTTAAAAGGTCTTCTGCCTAATCTCTAGATAATAATTTACATGAAAGATAGCAGTTTATAACCAGTTTTACCTGAGTGAAGAGATGCCATATGAGTAATAATCACTCAGCTCTCTTCAGCAAAATGTTCTAACTGCCTAGACAGTGCAGAGCTCCCCAGCCAGTGTGCCTGTGGTTTGACCCCCTCAGCCCTGGGGGGCCTGTGGGGACCTGGGGTGGCTGGAGCATTCTGGCTGGTCGTCTCTGCCATGGGCAGCCCCTTCCACTTACCCCAGTGTGGTGCACAAATGTCATTTTTCTGTGGAGTTTCAGGGACCCTAAGTTAGAAGAATTGCAGTGGATGTGGAAACAGAATTTGGTGAGGAGTAAAATGCCACAGAGGTGTCTGGAGCATCCCGTATTCTGCCTGGCCTACTCTTAAATGAGTTCAGGAAACCGGGAATTAGGTGGCTCAAGGCTTATTTTCCACATGTAAGATCTGGACAGTTTGGGAATGTAGATTGTTTAATGTGAGTTGTCAGCGGTGTACTGGAGAATCAGTATATTGCTTATTTATACTGCTCTTTCCTGGAGAAAAAAGTCCCCCAAGGCTTGAAGAGATGAGGTAGGTAAGATAATCAAGTCATAGTTGATGTTTGCAGATACAGTGATGAATGTCTTACAGTTCCTGAATGAATTCTTGCCAGAAATTGAAGTATTGCCGTCTGTATTCAGTCTAGTGATCTCCTCTTGGTTGATCCCTCTTTGAGGCTGTTCACTTGACCACCACTAAAAGCAGTGGAAATGCTGCAGGCCTCATTCATGTAAAATCCTAAGGCCCCTCTCGGGAGGAGATGAGCCTCCTCACGCTTCACCAGCTGACCTGAATTTAGAGGAAAGAGAATGTGTCTGCAAGGAGTGAGACTATATAACAACAGGATCTCCTTGAACTTTGGGGGTGTATGTGTGATTGGGGGGCACTACATTAATAACTGTTACACTGTTTGGAGTTAATTTCAGGATGTAACTGGTGTATGCGCCTTGTACAGACTAGTAATAATAATATTTATAACTTGCCTGCATAATGGGAAGTATGAGTGAATGAAAAATTACTGGACTTAAACCCTTCCCAGCCAACCTAATGACTTGGTGTTAGCAGCGCTAAGGCAGTGAAAGGTGGCTGAAGTGTCAGACTGTGAAGCATGAAAAGCACCCATAACTCAGTCCATGCCAGGTCCCTGCCCAGGGCACAGTGACCATCAGCAACACGGGGCAGTGGAAGACAGGCAGCACTAGGGGTCCCCTCTGTTGAAGAGCAGCCCACGTCTGAGGGCCGTTGCATGCAGTCTGCATATCTCACTGTCTTCCACGATCCAAGAGCGATCGTGCAGGAGTGTGGGGCTGCGCCAATGCAGGAGGAGCACTGAGTCGACTTAGAACGCATTTACTGTGTCCAGCATTCTAGTTAGCCTCCACTTGAATTTTTTTTCTGTTCGATATGACACCTTCGCTTTGGTGGTCATTATTCTACTAGTGGCAGAAACCCATGACAGTTGCAGTTGCACAGACCAAAAACCTTGGAGTTACCTTTGACTCTTCTTTTTTCTCACGTCCTACATCTAAATTCTTTGACAGATCCTGTCAGCTCCACTTCCAGATTGGGATGCCAAATCTGCACTGCTTCTCACCTCTAGTGCTGCCCATCAGGTCCAAGCCTGGATTGTTACAAGGACTCCTGACCTTTCTGCTCTGCCTTTGTTTTCCTGCAGTCTGCTGCTCCACTCAGCAGCAGTAACCTTGTAAAACACAAGTCAGGTCACAGCACTCTTTTGCTCAAAACTCTCCAATGTCTTCCCATTTCAGTCAGAGATGAGCAAAGACTTTATAATGGCCTGCAAGGCCCTATGTGATCTGGCGTGGTCCCCAACAGCCTTGATGACCTCATTTCTGACATACCCCTCCCTCCACATGGGAGCTTTCTGTGTCTGCAATAGACTAAACCTTTCTAACCTCAGGGCTTTTGCTCTTGTTATTCCCTCTGCCTGGAATGTTCTTCTCCCAGATGGCATATCCTCAGTTCCTTCAGTTCTCTGCCCAAAGGTCATCTTCTTAAAGAAGGTGGTTTCCTCTGACCATGTATATCATACATCCACATACAGTCTTCTCCTGCTTGCTCTGCTTTATCGCTCTGAGCACGTGTCTGTGTCTGATACACCGTAGATGCACTTGTTTGTCTCTCTCACAACTGAGACTTTGTTTTGTTCACTGCTGTATTCCTGGCCCTCAGTAATTATTGAGTGAATTGAAGAATTTCCAAACACATCAAACTAGTATTTATGATCCCCGTGTAACTAGGTCCAGTCCCTGCTCCCCGTGTCTCTTCTGTCTCTCCCGGAGATTCTGTTCAGCTGTGCCCCTTCCTGCTGAGACGGCCACCGCTCTTCTCCAGCAGTCACTGTTGCCCGTCAGCGCAAATGCCTTCTCTCTCAGTCCCACTGGTTTCCCCATCTCTGAATTCCTGTACCAGGGGCAGTGGGTGTCATACTAACTGCTTCCAGTCTACAGAAGACCCTCTGAATCCCCCAATTTTTCTTAGCCATTTTGAACATTTCTCCCAGCTAGCTCCTCCTCTCTCCCCTGGAGATGACACTTGATCTGAGGATGTCTATGGTGCATCTTATAATTCCCTGTTGAGGAAGAGCAGAGTTTAGTGTGAAGCTTTTGACTGGTAAGCAGTGCCAAGGGCAAGGCCCATGGCTGGTACACCTTAGGGGCTTAATAAATCAAAATTACCATCACTTAATTTTTTCTCTTTTTGTTGGATAATGCTAGAATGGTTCAGGGGATAATATTTGGTCCTTATTTGTTTGACTGTAGATATTTATCTCCAGTTTGCAATATATGACAGTGACCTTTGAGTTTCTAAATGAACAGTTGGATGATTTAAAAAGGTAAGAAGGTAGTATGTGCTCATGAAACATTTTGAAGCAGAATGGAGCGTATCAAGTGAAAAGTTAAAGATCCCATGCTCCAGAATTAAGAGGGTAACGTCTGTTTTATCTTTTATGAATTTTTTGAAATTACTGTTTCTTAACATGCGCTTTTAGATATTAGAAAGTTAGATTTGTCAAGAAACCTGCTGTCCTCATGGGATGAAGTGATACTTATTGCTGACCAGCTTAAACACCTGGACGTTCTTAATCTCAGGTATGAACTCTTGGTTGCTGAATTGTCACATACTACAAAACTCCTAATCTCTCCTTGCCCACTCACAATATCTCTGTGGAAATGAGGTGGGGAAGATGGGTGGGATTCAGGCTGCCACCTGGTAGACATTTTAAGAGAGGCAGACTTTAGTTTATCTAAGCTTAACTTATTCTTTAAGGGCACATTGGTTATTATAGTCTTTCAAATAGTCACATGAGGTGGTTCATTAATAAATGTATTTTACGTTAGAACTGATGGGGGTAGGGTAAGTTGACATATGAGGTCTTCATATTTCTTGTAAGCCTGGCCATAAAACGTAGAACCTCTGGAGGAGGTGATACTTAATTGGGGAGCTGATGTTATTAAAAGTGTTTATTATTGAAGCTTCTAGCATTTATATTGCTTTAGGAATGAGTTATTTCATTGGGATACTGTTTAATTCAGTTTTGATAAGGATTTTTCATTAATCTACATATTTTACTAATGTCACAGTTTTCCAGGCCTTCTTCCTGAATATTTGATTAGTTTTAATCTCAGAACCTAATTTTCCAAGTGCTCAGCCAGGGTTCCCCTTTCGTACTTGAACCAATGAACCAACTTTACGTATACAGGTGAGTTGTACCTGTACAGTTTAACAGGTCGTCAGGCCTAAATTATAGTTTTGCTCCCAAATAGAGCAGATGGGTGTAATTTGACCCGTGGTGTCTCCCATCCTGGGAATGTGGGCAAATGTTTTTCAATAGTATATTTTTTCAAGTGACTGTCAGGATTGAGTACTTTTCAAGATTAGGATCTTGAGAGAGAATTGAAAGGACAATAATGTCATCCATTCTGACGGTAAAAGGTCAGACTCTGTGTTTAGAGAAGCAAACTTCCAGTCCACAGTCTAGCATATTACCAAGACTCTTGAGAATGGGACTTAATTTTCCCACATCTTGGGAAACTGCAAAGCTGACCTTAGAAATGCCTGAGTGGCGTTTCAGGAACAGACTCACCCAGCTGCTCTCAGTCTGTGATGACATCTTTGCATGTCAGATACTAAAAAGTTGTATACTGTAAATATTAACAATACTGGTGGTCTGGCTCACTTTGTTTTTAATAGAATTTCATTTTAAGGTTGAAACAAACCCAGATCCTCAGATTATATCCAAATTGTTGCTTTCAGTGAATGTTTCAGTTAGATCTACTTGCATAGCAATAAGCACAGTGTATCTTCTTTTTCTACGCAGTGAAAATAAACTACAATTTCCCTCTGGTGCACCATCTCTAACAGGAACGTTTTCTGCAATGAAGGTTTTAGTCCTTAATCGAACAGGAATAACATGGGCTAAGGTAATCGCCCATGCGCACGTGTGTGTTTGTGTGTGTGTGTTTTTTAAATTCTTGGTTTAATAGGGAATCAGAGCACAGATGTGGCTTTATTTTAATCATCCAGTTATCCAAGTAATCAAATTCTTTATCTTGCCTTACAGAAGGAGTTAAAAAATCGTTGGAGATAAGTAGAATTTTTTATCTAGGAATTGCTGTTTTCTCTCGGCTCATTTTGATTTGTTCTGGGATCTTCCTAAACGGTGGCTTTCCATAGTGGTATGCAATAAATATGTGATGAGCTTTTAAAAGCCTTAGATTTAGCTGTTTATTGAGCCTTTATCTACCTGAGTTTTCCTGCAAGTGTTCTTCTAGCAAGACTGAGCCCCAGAAAGGCTATGACATCCTTTTTTTGTCTGAAGTTCAGCTACTGTAATCCACTGTTCATTGTATCCATCTGGGCTCAAAAGAAGAATAGTGGGTCCTTGGCATTGCAGCCAGTTGAAACTTATGTCTGGTACTCGTATTTTCTGTGAAGAGTTCACCGATTTCATACATACCAGAATATTTTATTTTAAAGCCAGGTGCAGATTAGTACATTCCCAGCAATATTGTTCATCTGTGAAATGCTACAGAAGCACCTCAGTTGGAGGTTAGTTGCCCTTGAGCCAAAATCAGTTATTTAACTTCTTTTCTAGTACACCTTCTGTTACAGGTTGTGCTTCTCCAAGTTTAGATTTAGTACCAGAACAGGAAAGGAAGTAGAAAGTCAGGTGATAGAGATGACAGCAAAGTTCAAGTAACAAAATTCAGAAATAGTTGTTGAGAAATTTTGTTTTGATTAGTATATTCTTTACAAACCTGGATTGGCATCCAGAATTGAGGAAAGATGTTTAACACCAATTTCCTTGGTTAAGCAAACAATGTCAAATAATGTGTTAAATCAGCATCTCCACTTCAGCTTCATAGCTGCCTTAATACAGTTCAGGATTTAACTAAACGATGCACTTATACCTACCTTGGTGATTCAGAGTGTCAAAGGTGTATGCTACCATATTATTAAAACGTGGCCCTTTGACATTTTAATTTTATCACCTCCCCACCAAACACTCCTTGCCTGAAATGTAGTCTGTAATGAGATGTCTGTGAGGCACTTTATTTCTAAAACAGTAACTAAACTGAATTCATGTGGAAGTTATGGTCATAGACACATGAGAAGAAACAACCAACAGAGGCCACTGCTTCTCCTAGGTGCTCCAGTGCGTGCCTGGATGGCCAGCCCTGGAGGAACTGTACCTTGAGTCTAACAATATTTTCATTTCAGAAAGGTAAGAAGGGTTTACTTAAATGTACCCATAACCATTTAGTCATTCAGAGGACATGCAAATAAGAATTAGAAAAATGATTCTTATTTATTGCCTTCACAAATTGGAAAGTAAACTAAAACTTCACCAGTTGGTTCTAACTGAGGAAAAATCAATCAGATTGAAAGGTCTAAATTAAATATTTTTGAAGACATGAATTTTATTAGTCTTAAATAAATAATCATTGCTGTTTCTAAATGGATGTTCCACAGGATATGCTATAACAATTAAATTGTGCATTTTTAATTAGCATTGTCTGCTTAAGGGCAGTGTACCAAGTATATGTAAAAGCTTGTTCTTGTAAATACATTAAATATGTTGCTGCCTCATCTTTCTTTTTTTTAGTATCATTTAGTTACTGTATAAAGTTAAATGTAAGTATGGGCAGATTTACAACAAATTCTCAAAGGATTCAAATTGAATAAGATATTGAATCTTATCAGTAAGAATGATTTCATTTATTATATATGCAAATGAAGGTATCTTAAGACTGGTTTTGGAAAAAAAAAACAAAGATATTAAATTCATGTTGAAAAAAAATTATTTTCCATACAGGCCGACTGATGTCCTACAGATGCTCAAGCTATTAGATCTCTCCGGTAATCAATTAATTGATGAAAATCAGCTGTTTCTAATAGCATATCTGCCCAGGTAATTTTGCTTCTAAAATGCCCATTACAATAGTGCTTAGTAAATGTTTGTTGTTGTTGTTGGGTGCTGTTGAATCGATTTAGACTCAAATGTATACTTTCAGGAGTCCCTGGGTGGTGCAAATGGTTAAGCACTTGGCCACTAGCTGAAAGATTGGTGGCTCAAACCCATCCAGAGGCACCTTGGAAGAAGGCCTGGCAGTCTCCTTCCGAAAGGTCACAGCCTTGAAAACCCTATGGCGTAGTTCTACTCTGCACCCATGAGGTCACCATGAGTCAGAATTGACTTGATGACAACTAACAACAACATGTATACTTTCTCAATAAAAATATGATGATGATAGTATTTCTAAATTGAATAATTCCCTTTGGGAAATTTTTATTTGAATTGATTTAGAGAATTTACTTTTCAGCCATAAGAACATATTAGAATGAATAAATTGACCCTGGTGATGATGCCAAATGTCTTCATTCGAAACATGATTTTGAAGTGAATAGTCCTAGGTTTAACAATAATTTAGAGGACCTCCCTGCAAATATCCATGTCTTGAACCATTGTTCTTTTTTTAAATTAAAAAATACGTATATCAGCTTTGTTGAGATATAATTCACCCATTTAATTTATATAATTCATTGATTTTTAGTATGTTCATAGAGTTGTGCAACCATCACCACAGTCAATTTTAGAACATTTTCATCACCCCATAAAGAAACCCCATACCCTTTAACAGTCACTCTCATTCTCCCCACCTCAGTCCTAGACAACCACGAATCTATCTTCTGTCTCTATGGACTTGCCTGTTCTGGACATTTCATATAAATAGACTCATACAAGATGTGGTGCTTCATGACTGGCTTCTTTCACTTAGTGTAGTGTTTCCAGGGTTCATCCATGTTGTAGCCTGTGTCAGTACTTCATTCTTTTTTGTTGTCTAATACTAGTCCATTGTATAGATACACCACATTTTATAAATCCACTCATCAGTTGATAGACATTTGGGTTGTTTCCACTTTTTGGCTGTCATGAATAAAGCTGCCATGAACATTCATGAACAAGTTTTTGTGTGAACATGTTTTTATTTATCTTGGGTATACCTAAGAGTGGAATTGCTGGATCATATGGTACCTCTTTATTTAACCTTTTGAAGAACTGCCAGATCATTTGCCAAAGCAGCCATTTGTATATTTCCACCAGCAGTATATGAGGGTTCCAGTTTCTCCACATTTTGCCAACACTTGTTATTGTCCATCGTCTTGACTGTCACCATTTTAGTGGCCATGAAATGGTATCTTACAGTTTAGATTTGCATTTCTCTAATGGCTAATAATGTTGAGCATCTTTTCATGTGTGTATTGGCTGTTTGTATATCTTGGAGAAATGCCTGTTCAGATCCTTTGCCCACTTTTAAATCAGGTTGTCTTTTTATTGATTGTAAGAGTTCTTCATATCTTCTGGATATTAGGCCCTTACCAGATACATGATTTGCAAATATTTTCTCCCATCCTGTGGATTGTCTTTTCATGGTATTTTTAATTAAAAACTTTCATATAAAAGTTTTAAATTATGATGAAGTCCAATTTATCATTTTTTTTCTTTGGTTGCTTATGCCTTTGATGTCATATATAAGAGACCATTACTTAATCCGAGGTCGCAAAGATTTGTATCTTTGTTTTCTTCAAAGAGTATTATAGTTTCAGTTCTTACATTTAGGTCTTTGATCCATTTTATATATATATGGTGGGGGGTGGGGTAAGGGCCTAGCTTCATTGTTTTACATGTGGTATCCAGTTGTCCCAGCACCATTTGTTGAAAAGATTTTTCCTTCCGCATTGAATGTTCTTGGCACCCTTGTTGAAATCAGTTGACCGTAAATGTGTAATGTAAGAATTTATTTCTAGACTCTCAATTCTATTCCATTGATCTCTGTATCTATCCTTGTACTGGTACCACACTGTCTTGTAGTAAGTTTTGAAATGTGAATCCTCCAACTTTGTTGTTTTTTAAGATTGTTTAGCTGTACTGGGTCCCTTGCATTTCTATATGAATTTTAGTATCAGCTTGTCAATTTCTGCAAAGAAAGCCAGCTGGGATTTTAATAGGGATTGCATCGAATCAGTAGATTGGTTTGGGAGTATTGCTATCTTAACAATATTAAGTCTTCTGATCCATGAACATGGTATAGCTTTCCGTTTTTTTAGATCTTTAATTTTCAATAATGTTCTGTAGATTTCAGAGTGTAAGTTTTGCATTTGTTTTGTTAAATTTTAAGTATTTTATTCTTATTTTGATGCTATTGTAAATGGGAATTTTCTTAGTTATTTTTGGATTGTCCTTTCCTAGTGTACAGAAATGGATTAGATGCATTTTGTTTTTCTCTGCTTCATCTAGATTGTTCTGTCATCACATCTACTTTTGAAACCCATGCCATCTGCCTGTATTAACTTCTATCCAGGGAAATTTCCTCATCTTTCTCAGTGAAATTGTGCCCACTGTATAGTCCCTTTTTTTTATCCATTTCCCCTATTTTTCTGTTGTCACCTCCTGATGCTGAAGAGGGTAACAAAACTATATCTGCTGTAACCTACAGCTCATCTTTTGTGACTTGAGTGGGCCTTCACCTTATTTGCCTCTTGCTGACTTTTTAGTTTTATTCCTATAACAGCACTTCTAAACCTTTCATTTTCCTCCGGTTCCTAATCTGGCCTTCTATTACTGAGAAAGAATACCAAGCTATCTGGTATGAGTTCCCTAACTTTCTTCTCCTCTAACTCAAAACTTCTCTGCCATTCTAAGTCTTCTTTTTCTGTCCCCAGAGAAGCCTTTCTTCTTTTCTTCAAGCTTAAGTCCTTCAGCTGTACCGTTAATTTCCTCTTTGGGGTCTTGTTCCATCAGTTTTCCTTTCTCCTTTTTTTTTTCTTTTTAATTGTACTTCAGGTGAAGGCTTACAGAACAAATAGTTTCTCATGAAACAGTAGTACACATATTGTTTTATGACATTGGTTAACAACCCCTCAACATGTCAACCCTCTAACTTCTCAACCTTTTTTTTTGGTGAAAATACACATAGCCAAAGATACACCATTTCAAAAATTTCTACATACACAGTTCGGTGACATTGACTACGCTCTTCGAATTGTGCTGTTATTCTCACTTAAGATGAAGGCTTACAGAACAAAATAGTTTCTCGTTTAACAGTTACTACAAATGTTGCCCTATGACAATGGTTAACAATCTCACAACACATCAACAATATCCTTACTCAACCTTGGGTTCCCTATCACCAGCTTCCTTGTCCCCTTCTGCCTTCTTGCCCTTGTCACTGGACTACTGTACCTCATTAGTCTCATTTGGTTTTACGGGGCTGTCCACTCCCAGGGTGTACGGTGAACCTCAGCGATAACTTCATCACTGAGCTAAAAGGGTGTCTGGGGGCCATACTCTTGGGGTTTCTCCAGTCTCCTTTAGGCCACTAAATCTGGTCTTTTTTGTGTGTGTTAGATTTTTGTTCTACATCCTTCTCCAGCTCTGTCCAGAACCTTGTGTTGTGATCCTGGTCAGAGCACTCAGTGGTGGTAGCCGGGCACCATCTAGCTGTACTGGACTCAGTCCGGTGGAGGCCTTGGTAGCTGTGGACAATTAGTCCTTCGGACTAATCTTTTCCTTGTATCCTGTTCTCTTCATTCTCCCTTGCTCCCGAAGGGATGAGACCAGTGGAGTATCTTAGATGGCCGCTCATAGGCTTTTGAGACCCCAGACACTACTCACCAATATCCTTTCTCCTTTTTATCTCTGATTGCTTCCCCTCTACTAGCTCTTTGCCCTCTGCTTACGTGTATTGTACTAAAACACTTTCCCTTAACCCTGCCATACTGGTAAGCTGTTACCCTATCTGCTCTCCTTTCACTGCTAAACTTCTCACAATATGGACTCTAGTCACTGTCTCCACTGATGGCCCACTGCTCATGCTCACACCGCTCCACTCTCACTGCCTTGTTATAAAAAGGCCACAGACGAACCTTTGGTTGCCACTGGCCTTTATAGTCCTTGCTTGACAGGGTTATCTAGCCCCTCCCTGTTAAAGCTCTTTCCTTGACCTTCCATCAGTTTTCATGCTACTGTGATCACTTCAGTGCATCTTCCTTTGACTCTTTTTTTTTTGTTTTTTGTCTCCACATCTTATGTCATGGATTCTTTATTTCCATGCAAATCACACCAGATCTGTAGCTCTTACCTCTCTTCTGACCTAAGTTTTCAACTGCCTGCTGGGCGGCTATATAGTCACCTATATAGTGTTTTTCTTGGCATTTCAAATCTACCATACCCAGAACAATGCTCCTTTCCTTTCCTTAACTACAGCTGTACCAGATTCTGGTGGCTTCTCTATTTTGATTACTAGCGCCATCAATTTCTGTCAACTTTAACTCCTCCTTCATTGCCTCCCCCCTCCCTATTGCCTATACATCCATATAGCATCTGAATCCTTTGGATTCTTCTTCTGAAATGGCTTGCTCCCTCTATTTGGAATATTGTTAGAACTTCTGCCTCCTGTATCCTCTCCTGTATCCTGGTGGTGTAGTGGTTAAGAGCTACGTCTGCTAACCAAAAGGTCAGCAGTTCAGATCCCCCAGGTGCTCCTTGGAAATTCTAAGAGGCAGTTCTGCTCTGTCCTTTAGGGTCACTGAATTGGAATTGACTCGACGGTAATGGGTTTGGTTTGGTTTTTTTTTGGTATCCTCTTTCCATTCTACCACCGACTTGAAGCACAGCTCTAATATTACCTTTTCTGTTCACAACACGTCTCCTCATTGTCTAGGAAGTAAAGCTTGGCATCAAAGACTCTTGTAATGTGGCCTCAGAATAGCCTCCACTCCTACCAAACTGGACTTCTTTCCATTACCAGTTGGGAGGAGGGGGCTTCTCTGTCCTCATGCCTTTGCTCATATCATTCTTTTTCTAAAATGTTCCCTTATCTCTATTTGATAAAGCTCAACTTTATTCTTCAAGGCTCTGCTTAAGGTCCCATGCTTAGTGATGTCTTCTCCATCCTCCCTTCCTCTGCACTGAGATAGTTTTTATCACATGGTGCTCATGCTCTAAGTTATTTATCATACAGTCCTTTGAATTATGGTTATACATCTTATTTTCTCTACTCATTAAACTTCAGGATTATAGGACCATGTCTCTTTCCTCTTTGAATGCCATTTAGCACCTGTTAGATGACTGTAGAATCATTAGAATATAGCGTAAAAGGTCTACTTTGCATACCCTAAAATGGACATTACGGTTTCTAAGCATTCTATGAGATGAAAAAATTTAGGAAAAAATTTAAAAAACTAGTCTGGTTGATAGCCCATAGCATTTTATATTGCTGTATGTAATTATATGTAACCAAATCTACATTTCTTAATTTCAGATTAGAACAACTAATCCTCTCTAACACTGGAATTTCTTCTATACATTTTCCGGATGCTGGAATTGGTATATAAGATTAGTATTTTCCCTCGATACTTCAGCTATTTATTGTACTTCTACCATGTAACTTTATTCTTCTTTTTCTAGGGTGCAAAACATCAATGTTTCCTTCCTTGCAATACCTTGTCGTAAATGATAACCAGATATCACAAGTAAGATATTCTTCAGAATATGCATAACACATCATCGCTTATTTCCACTCATCATGGAGCTTGTAGGTTCCTCCTTCTATCAAAGAAAAAGATTTTAAATTGAAAGAGAAATGCTTCCTCACTAAGCAGACTACTATCATTTAAAATGGCATGGCGTATAGAGTAAAAGTATGTGGGCTTTCTAGTGGGGTCCTCGTGCATGGTCAAATTCAGTGCCTTAGATTGGAACTAGGGACTTCAGCTTTTCTGTTGGTAGCTCAGATAATCTGAAGAAATAGCCTGAAACATGTTGTCTTTTGTTTGCTCTCAGTGGTCATTTATCAATGAATTAGATAAGTTGCAGAGTCTGCACTCTTTGTCTTGCTTAAGAAACCCCCTGACTGAAGTAAACAAAGACGCCCAGACTGTACGCCAGCTCATTATTGCCAGAATTGGTCAACTAAAGACACTGAACAAATGTGAGGTGAGTCCTAGAACAGTGAGATATTTGTTAGACTAGAAAATCAGTTAACACACTCTCCTAGTGAGACTATCAAAAAATGGAAAAGGAAGAAATTATGTTTGAATATTACAAAGGGTATCAGATGTGGTTTCCCTCCAAATGGTAAAATACTATCTTCGAGCATCTTAAGTAATTGTGGTTCTTTTCTGAGTCCTCAGGAGGAAGGTGGTATTATACTTCTTAGATCAGCACAGGAAAAATCTGCTGCTGACCTGCTCCCTGGCCTGATTTATTATCATTTGATGAGGGGTGAGGAATACTAGACACTTTCTCCCATTTCTTTGGGGGAATGTAGGCAGACGACAAAACGACATTTATCCTTTAGTTCTTAGCCACTCTTCCCCATAAAATTGGGAAGGCCATGATTTGCCAGCACCGTTGTATTGTTCACTTGGAACAAATCAGCTCCTCTGAGGTGGATACTTGCGGGCTAACTCATTTAGGGGACCTTAGGCATTGGGGATAGTTTAGAAACTGGCTTGTGGGTAAATAGTCTCATGAAGAAAAGTATAAAATGAAAATTCTTTTTTCTTTTTAATGAACTCCTAAATTCTGTCGGTGTTAAAGAAGAAAGGTAAAAAGTGTAATTAAGTATTCTTGTCCCTTTGGGTGGAGGTGGGGTATACAAAACACAAACAACTTGTTAGAAAAGTGTCTCGATAGACTTGTTTTTATTTCACATCCACATAGATTCCCGTAGAGGAGAGGCGTGGAGCTGAGCTTGATTACCGGAAAGCTTTTGGAAATGAATGGAAAAAGGCTGGTGGACATCAGGATCCAGACAAAAACAGACCAAATGAAGAATTTCTTGCAGCCCATCCTAGATTCCAGTTACTCTGCCTTAGTATGTACAGTATCGACAAGCATTTTTTCCTTTGGTGGACTTCCCACTGGAACACATTTTTTCCCTTGGGTATCAAAGGAAGTTCTTTCTGTTCTTTTCTCCCTCTCTTGGGGCTTTTTGAACTTATCCAGATGGACTATAGATACTTTTCTGGGGCTACTTCAGCAAGTTGGGAGCAGATAATTGAAAAATTCCCTTTAGAGAAGATAAATCAGTACCATTTCTCAGAAGAAACCAGGGAAGTCTGTTTAGGTTCCTTAGAGAAATTTGTATTTGGGAAGGGGAAGTTTTTCTCATCTTTGCATATGCCCACCAGAGACTTTAGATTTAGGGTGGTAGGTTACCACTCTGTTCTTTAGGAAGGGCAGGAAGCACTCCAGTTTATCTCAACCCTGGTTGCAACTTAGGTAATTTTAAAAATTAGACTATTTTGAGGTGGAGCCCAGGCATTCATGTTATTTAATGCTCCCCAGACAATTCTGGTGTCTTATGAGAGCTCAGAGGAAGGCTGTTCTTCCTGAGCACTGTTTTGTGGGCTCACCGCGTACAGCATCTGACAGTTCAGGCACTTGGTATTCGAGGTGGTTCCTCAAAACTTCCAGCCTGGTTCCTCAGGCTTTGAAGCCACAACTTCAGGATTCTTTGTCCCTGATGTATTTTCTATTTTGTTTTGACTTCATTATTATTCCAAATTTCACTTTTATGCAATTTCCCTTTTTTATATATTTCCTAATGCAAGCATCTTACTGCATAAATGCTTCAGGCTGGAACATTATCTTTGAGGAAGAAAAGCTGCCGGTGGGAACTGCTTTCAGATTGCTCCATTAGCTGGCCCCATTTCCTGGCCACTGTAGGTGAATTCTAAATTACTTGGGGGCAGGGAAGGGAAGGCTTCCGAAAGCAGTCCCGCAGGTGTGGCTGTGTTTCACTGAGAGTCCCCAAGGACAAAGACACAGATATTTGGGGCAGTTATGGAATTTTACCTCAGATTGTTTAGAGATGTTAGAGCTGGAAAAAAGCACCGGGCCCTTTACATCCTTGTGCACAGGCTGCTTTCCTGGGGGGCCTGGTTGACAGCAGTGGTGTTGAATGCCCAGCCTAGCGCTGCACAAGCTGGTTGGAACTTGGTGAAGGTGCTCCGTGAATCATATCCTAAACAGGACCAAAAAGAAAGGGAACTGTTCCCAAAGGGAAACTAAACAGACATTCTGTATATAATAGCACAGCCTCATCTTGCTAGTTTGAGTCACAACGTTCTTAGTGTCAGAGAACAATAATGTAATACACAAGTTACGGGAGATTATGCCCTTGCAAACGGATGCTGTCTACACCTAAAAACAAAAACCAAACCAAACCAAACCAACCAAGTGATAAATGAGTAAAACAAGTAACTAAGTATAAAGGAAGCAGATCCCTGGTTAGCATACCAGCTGCTGCTAGGTTTGTCTGTGGGAAAGGAGAAGGCTCTGTTGACACTTAGCTATGAAACTTTTCTTATAGTGCCCTTTATTTATCCTTTTTTATTTCTTAACAGAATTTGGTGCACCTGAAGATGGGGAACTCAAAACACAACAACCATTTATGCTCAAAAATCAGCTACTAAGTAAGGAACTCAAAATTCAAGTCCTTAGGTGTTGAAACAGATAGTGATGACCTAATAGGGATTAAATGTGCATCTCTTAAGTACCTTGATTTTTAGCAAAATGATGATGAATTCTTAAATTTAAATCCTCGTAGGGAGCATTTTTGCAACTCCCAGGCTTTAAACTCATTTAATAGTGTTAGAAATTTAGGAAGTAGTTGAGTAGTGAACTGAATTGTGAATCACTTGGATATTTGTGCCTTTTCTTATACTTGAAAACGTGGCTGAATTGTCAGTAAAGCTATAAAAGTTGGTCGTTGTTTTTTGTTGTTAGTAATTGTCAGTTTAAACATCAGTAAGACCTATTCCTATATTAGGATTTGAGCCAAGCTGTACTGAACAGATGTATCGTTTGGCAATGCATGGGGTCACCATGAGTTTGGCCTACTCGGCAGCTACTAGTAACAATTAACTTACATGTGCAATTTAAATCCTTACTATAGAAAGTGTCAATTAACCTTTTCCTTTTTTTCTTTAAAGAGCTGAAGATAAAATGTCCTAATCAACTTGATCAAAAAGTCATAGAGAAACAATTGCCAGGTAAGAGGAATGAGCCTGTCCTTATGCTTCTGAACCCTATTTGGTGGCCTAGATATGAGTCATCTGAAAGTAAAATATTTAATTCAAATCTAAAAGTGTAGCCCTTCCTAGCTCATAGACTTTCGCTAGTCTTTTATGTTCTAAAGTACAATCATGTTACTGTCACTCTCCTCGAAAAGTTCAGGTATCTGCCAGATTTTACCAGCTCATCTAGAAAATAGTGCGTTAAAATTTGAAGCCCCTACACATGATTACATTTTAAATCAAAGGCATGAGTGTGTGACTAGCTTAGCCTTTCAGAGGAGTTTGCGAAGCCCATTGCTTTGTTAGATTGTTACTCGGGGGTTTTTTCTTGTTCAGAGATATGGTCCCATTGGGTTCAGGGTCTGTCTTGCCATCCATATTGTTTAAGACAGGAAATATGTCCAGTCAGGGCTTCCTGACAGATCTGGAGTCCCTGCAGAAACAATTCTAAAGCCCTCTCTTTCAGTGGACACACTGAAATGGTTTTCTTAGGGGAAAAAACTACTTCAGGATTTTATTTAAATATTTGTAACACTGGAACTGGAGCCCTGGTGGTGCAGTGGTTAAGCGCTTGGCTGCTAACTGAAAGGTCGGCGGTTCAAACCCACCAGCCGCTGCACGGGAGAGATGTGGCAGTCTGCTTCTGTAGATTACAGCCTTGGAAATCCTATGGAGCAGTTCTACTCTTTCCTTTAGGGTTGCTGTGAGTCGGAATCAACTCGACAGCAATGGGTTTGGATTTTTTTTTAATACTGGAACTAAATCAGTTTTATTCAGAAAATACTTTTGTGTAACAAATTAACAAATTAGGTCAACATAACTTACCTTAAACTTTCACTCAAAAGAAAATTAGTCTATTTTATTCTAAAGATTAAACTTGATCATAGATAAGTGCTAAATATAAACAAGTTAAATTTAGAGCTGTGAGAATTTGAAGAAGAAATGAAATACATATCACCCTAAAAGACTCTAGTAAACTACTTTAACTTGTTTACTTCTCAGTGCAGTGAATTCACACTGATTTTTAAATTAGTTTCTATCAGATAAAACAAGCTTATCATGGTATTATCTTATGAAAGGCTTTTGTTGTGTTCAAAGAAGTACCTTTCTGATAACCTTATCCATCTAGTGTTAATTTACCTGTATTTCTCCATTTTTACTTACTAGCAATCCAAATTCTATTCCTAAGTGATAATTTTGCTACTGTTTTAAAATGATGTATTAAAATTAGTGGTTCCCCCTTCATTATTCTGTTTTCAAACATAAATGCTGGCAATAAAGCGACTGATGGGGACAAGTAAGTACAAGAGGGACAGAATTTCTTGCTAGTGTAATTGGCTATGAATGTCTTTTGCATTTCCTTTTACTTTCCAGATATACAAAATCAGAAACCTGTTGCCACTGAGTCAATTCCAACTCATAGCCACCGTATCAAATCAGATCAATTCATAGGGATGTTATTACCACCAGGGCTTTGAACCTGTTCAATTCAGTTTGAACTCCTGCTGAGAATTTGCATTTCTGACAAGTTCCCTGGAAGTTATACATAACAATTACCTGGGCACCTTGTTAAAATGTAGATTCTAATTCAGTATATCTGGGGTAGAAATATGGTGATAGTGTGCCCAACACCCTTCTCTTGTACCAGATTGTACATCTGACTGATGTCCCCGTTCTTTTGAGATTCAGTTACCCATTTTGGGAACACCCAAGGTGTACTTACCTGCTTAATGCTCTGATTTTATTCATCTTTAGGCAGAACTAGCAGAGATTAGAATCACCCAGAGTCCTACATTCTGTAAACTGAGCAGTAAGCCATTAGATTACAAGGTTCTCCTTATTAATTCTTATGCCACATGCTATAAATATCTAACTACTAACAGATAAATACCCTTTTAAAAGCAAAGTGGTAGAGAAGTGTAAAATACTGCAGTGCCATTTTTTTGCCCATCAGATTAGCAAAAATTAAATAACCATACCCAGAGCTGGCATGAGAAATTGGTACAGCCTTTTGTAAAGCATGTGGTAAATGCTATGAAGAATACATACACGCTCTGACCAAACATTCTATCTTGTAGCACTTGTTATAATGGTAAAAATAAAAACAATCTAAATGTTTACCAATGGGGAATAGCTGAATAAATTCTGGCAGAGCCATACTACACAGTCTCTTGCATCTAGAGCTGTGCTGGCCAGTACGGCTGCCAGTAGCCATGTGGGCGATTTAAATTCATTCATTAAAATGAGATAAAATTAAAAATTCAGTTCCTCAGTCATAGGAACCACATTTCAGGGGCTCTGTAGCCACATGTGGCTGCCATATTAGACAGTGCAGGTCTAGAAGAATTGGCATAAAACAATGAATGCACCATCATATAATAAATAGAAGTTGTAGACCAGTATATCTTATGATGCCCATATATGTTTATATAAACAGAATAAAGCCTGGATGTATACCCATTAAACTTTTAACAGTGGTTAGAGGGAGGTAAAAGAGGTAAAAAGACAAATTGCCTATTTTAATATTTTCTGAATGTTAAGGTCATTTATTACGTCTATATTAAAAATGCTAATGTTACTTAGATTATTACATGCAAATTGCCACTTTCTTCTACAGACACAGTGCAAGCAGGCTGATTTCTTATGACCAAACTTTGTTTCTAGCATGAATTAAGAATATGTCATTTTCCACCTAGGTGTACAGAAGTTAACCTACCACCAACCACCCTCCAAACAATGAAAACCAGTCTACCTAAATCTTTTGAAAGAAGAGATTATCTACCACATATACACATATAAAAGAGCAAATTGTATGAATTAAAACTATAAATACCTATACATAAACAAGAAAAGGCCAATTTTTATTCTAAAATAAAGATAACATTTATTATCACAAGTTGCATAAAAACACAGCTTTTACAAGAATGATTTTTGATAGAAAAATATTCATTTGAATACATTGTGATATTTGTAGGAACACCATACTATTGCTGTACCTCTAGCTAAAGCTTCAAAGAAACTATTTTTTATAACCAAAATATCCATTATTTACCACAACCTCACAACCTATCTTTGGAAAGAAGTTCATAGTGTTTCCTGAACAAACCAAAGCATATACTCTTTTAAGTTACATTCCCATGCCTGGTGGTCACTTTTATGGGTGTGTTAGTTGACCATGATTACATATTATAATAGTTACAGAATGTCAGGGCTGGAAGGGACCTTGTGGATCATTTAGTCTACCCGCCTCGTTTTACAGATGAGGAAGCTAAGGCCAGAAAGGTTAAAAGACTTCCTCAGGGCGCCAAGTCCCACTCCAGTGCTTTCAGTAATTCGTAAGTAAGTAATCACAAAAGGCTTCACAAGAAAAGCTAATGACTTCACTCAAATTTATTCCTCTGTGCTTGAGAATAGTATTTCTGGTTTATTCAAATTAAGGAAGAAATATTAAAACACCACTGAAATGGTATGAAAAAACTATTGTCAAAAGGCACTTAGGTCAAAACATTGGCTTGTTTCCCACATCTATCAAACTGACTTTGTGGTCCAGTTAAATAGGTGAGCCGTTCCCTAATTACTTGGGTAAATTAATACTATGAAATGACAGATACAGCTGTCACTGCAATTGTATTCTTGTCATGTGAGCTCATTTTACAGGTCAACTGTCATTTGACAGAACTGATGGTTTTTCTTTTCTTTTGATAGATTCCATGACAATTCAAAAGGTGAAAGGATTGCTGTCACGTCTTTTGAAAGTTCCTGTGTCAGAACTTCTGTTGTCCTATGAAAGTCCCAAAGTAAGTGGCCCAGCAAAATACAAAGTCAAGCTTAGTTCTCCACAGTATGACGTGCTAGTAAAATTACAAGCGTATAAATAACACTATTTGATCCTTAATGGAGACCATGCATCTTTTTTTGGCTGTAAGGGTGACCTGCTGTTTGGCGGGTGTATATATATAT